CTGGGCGTGTGTCCCGCTGCCGGCGCTGGTGTCGTCCATCCCCGCACCTGGGCAGAGACGGAGAATCCCCGGGGCTGGCCAGGGCCTCGGCCCCGCACGAGCTGCTGTGCCGCGGGTGGCGGCGGAGACGTCCGCGGTAGCGCCCGGGGCGATGGAGAGCCACGGAGCAGCGGAGAGAGGGTGCCCTCAGCGGGGTGAAGAGCGGGGCCGGCCAGCGGATGGACCTGAGGGGGAACAGAGCAGCTGGACCCAGCGGCACGGCGGGTTGGCGCTACAAGGAAGCCGAGACCTCTGAGTGACTCTTGCCTCGAAACACCTGGGAACGCCAAACACGCTACAGGGAGAGAGGCAGAAATCCCCTTCAGTCCCACTGAACGTCTCCAGGGGAATGCAGCAACAGGAGGAACCTCGTCGGCCAGAAGCTGCAAGTGGTGGCTGCCATGGGTAAAAGCCATTTGTGACCTGGAGACAGAGACCATGCCCAGAGCTGCAGCAGCTGAGAAAGCAGCGCAGATTATAAAGCACGTACAGGGCAGAGCATCCCTAGGGACAGAGCTGAGGGCGAGCCTGTGGCACTGCAGCTGGATACGTGCACTCTGTTCTGGTAGAAAGTATAAAGGTTCCCCTCCTGGACCTTGTCTCCAGCAGAAGCACCTGTCTGAAATGGCTCTGCCTCTTGGAAAAACGGGACATCAGGGAAATCAAATCATCAGAGTAGGGCAGGACTGGTTGAGGGCTCCTGAAAGGAAGCAGAAATGGTCTGAGAGCTGCATTGAGAACTGTGTGAAAGAAACAGCCAAGTCAATAGTGGTCAAACCAGAAAACAAAGAAAAGCCAGCAGTTTGTGCAGGGACTTGTGCTTCTCAGTGCATTTAGCAGTATCAAGAGTTTTCTATGGATGCAGTGCTATTCCAGGCAGACTGTAAAATGTGGCTCATACCAGTGGAGGAATTAGATTTGGAGAAGTGGCAGCAGCAAAATCTTGCAAAGCAGCCTAAAACATCCAGTTTCTACTGTCAATCTTGAGTACAGCACTGGTGTTTTCAAAACATTACCAGTAAACATTTCAGAGCCACCTTCCTGGATGCTGATAGTTTCTAGTCTGCACCTCTTCTTTTTACTTGTGTTTGTCAGTTCTACATTTCCTCTGCTGCTGAGGTTCAGGTTAGTCAGTAACCTGCTGGTAATGCACATCAGATGCCAGTTTGACTAGGTGGATAATCTGAATCATCATCAAACTTTTACTTCTTGTTCCCTGCCCACCTTCCTAGCCCATTTCTGCGTCTGATAAATGGCATGGATCACAGCAGAGTTGCCCAGATCTCCTGACTTGCTCACAAAACAGCTTGATCACTGCTTTAATGAATTTGCTTTTTTTTTTTCTTAAGTAAGTCTAATGCACAAGAGGACCTTTGTTTTCACCTTTGACAGCCTTAGTTCTCCAAGAACATTTTCTAGGAGAACTTAGCAGAGGCCTTTATGTAAGACCAACTGGACCAAGGATGAGCTGCATTTTTAGAGCATTCTGCCCATTAGTGTGGAAACCCTGGTTTTGCAGCCAGAGAGACTCACATAATGGTCACAGCCTTATTCTCAGCACTTTTCACCCACCATTGTTTGACCTCAGCTGGGTATCACCATTGCCTTTCCCCAAAAGCAGGTGCCTGCTCCTGCAAGAGGAGCTTGCTAGATCTAGGGTGTTGATTTATCCTGAGAAAACCCATTGCAGTCCCTCCCCAACTGTTTGCTTTCATCCATTTGCTTTCTAGTCTGAGTCACCATTCCTGGCTATCTGTGTGGTACTTTAAGAGCATTGAGTGCTCCAGGTTTTCAGCCATGCCTGCTCACTTCCAGGAGACCAGAGGCACCTCCTGCTGAGCCCAGGAATACCTGCTGAAGTGACTGCCTTCCAGGCACTTCTCAGGGCTGGCAGTCCTGCTGCTCCCCTGGGCAGCCTTTCCCCCACCTTCCTGAAGGATGCTCATCACTTCCAGCCACCTCTGCTCTGCCCTGTGGCTGTGTTGTGGTTTTCAATCTGTGATGCTTTCTCAGAGCTGTTGAAGCTCAGGGCATGGTCCCCAGGTCATAAATTGTCTTTGCCTGTCACAGCTGCCACTTGCAGCTTCTGGTTGATGAGGTTCCTCTTTTTTGTCTTGTTTCTGCTGGAAGGATGTTCAGTGGGATTGAGGTGCATTTCTCTGCCTCTTTCCCTCCAGCCAGTTCCCTTCAAGTACTTCTTGCAGCTCACTAGTGTTTTTTTGCTTTCTGGTTTTTTTTCAGATGAACTTACACATTTGTTCTCAGGCTGTTTTAATGTGGTTTATTTATTTGGGGGCTTGTCTACACAGCCCACTCTTCATTTTTTCCCATCTTAATGTTACATTGACTTTGTGCCTACAGCATGACTACCCACAGCAGTACTCTTCCACACACAGTGGCTTTTCTCATTCTTTGGGGTCAAAATTTTCCTGTATTTTTCACTGCAAGTCCCAAAGCCTGGTTATCTTCCAGCTTAAACAGAAGCTGGTAGAGTTGTCATCACATTCAGCTGCTTTACCAGCTCTTCTTATGCTGAGACCTTTCTGTGTACCAGCCACCAGCTGAGATTTGCATCATTGTGGATATGATCCTTGAGGATATCAGGGAAAGTATCCAAGGAACCCTTGCTCTTCATCATCCAGGAAACCAATTTGAAACGTGCCTTTAGAAAAGCCTTTTACTTATTTTCTTCTATGTGTCACTCTTACCCAAATGGACCGTGCCCGTGGGCTCCTCCCCAGCACTACCAGAGCTTTGACACAAGTGCCCTTTAACATGCTGCTTTTCCATGATGGTACTTTCATTCTTCCTGAGTTGCTTCCAGGAGAAGTAACAACATCCACTCTCTGTCCCATCAAGGGGCATGATGCCACATGTGCCTGTGTTTGAAATTAAGGCTTTTTGATGGACACCATTTTCTCTGAGAGCCAGCTTCCACCCCAAAGGACATTGTCACCACTGCTTAGCTCTATTCCTTCCATTCTGTATTTTTGACAAATGGTTTCTTGAATTGACTCTGTATATTAAATCCTTGTTTTCTTACTTAATTTCATACTTAATTTTTTACTTCTCCATTCTGATGTCACCTTCCAGTGCCTTGCTTGCATTAGGCATTTTCGCGATGTTAAAACACCCATCAATCAGAAACTATTCCTAGTTTGTTTTTTTAAAAAATTGTCTTCCTGAAGGATGTCCATAATTTCCAGCCACCTCTCATGTTCTGTGGCCAGGCTGTGGGGGCCACAAAGCTGTTTTGGAGCAGTTGAAGCTCTCAGCACCGTCCCCCAGCTACTGCCAGCCTTTCCTCATTACAGTCACTGCTTGCTGTTCCTTGCTGACAAACTTCCTCTGCTTCCCACAGCTCCCCTTTGAGGATGTTAACGTGACTGATGGATTTCTCCATCTCTCTCCCAACAGCCTTTGAGTGCATTGCTGTCACTGCCCAAAGGGACTTTTCAGTGCCAATGATGGGGTGCAGGTTTCTTGGGCAGAACAGGGCTGAGCTGAAGATGCTCTTCCGCCCACATCTGGAGCCAGCAGCATCCAGAGAGCAGCTGTGTGCCTGGGAATCCTGGTATACCCTCTCTGGTTTCCTTCCTTTTTATCTATGATACAAATGCATCCACATACCAACTCTGGCACACTGGTTCCAGCATCGTGTTTTAGAGAAGCACAGAAGTATCTGTTCTTGCTCTGTCTCCTTATTTTTATGTGCCTTGTTAAAGCAGCTCTTTGCTGCTTCCCACGCAAATGTTGTCACCTCCCGTCCTAGTCTCTAGTGGAGACTCAGGGGTTTTATGATTCCAGCTCATGGATGAATCATCTTGTCTTTAGCCCTATTGCTTGGTAGCTTGCTCCAGCATCCCTCTCCTGCCTGTGTTGGGTGGATACCTCTGTGGTGTCCCCCTCCATGGACAGAGGCCCTTTGCTCCTCCCTGCATGCTGCAAGAGACTGCTCGGATAGTGAGAACCAGTGCTTCTGTGTCCCAGAGTAAAGATTTTTGCACTGTTACCTTCCCCTCTTGTGCCTCACATTGTTCTCCACTCGAGTTGCAAGGTCTCCTTTCATTTTTGAAGGCAGGTTGCTTTGGCTGTTTTGTTGCCCTGCTCCTTCAGCCCTTCTGGGGATTGCTGATAATTCCTGGGTTGGGAGAATGCTCCCACAGCCAAACTCCTTACCTTGTTGCGCTTGTCTAACCCAGACCTCTTTTCCCTTCACACAGAGCCTCCACCTGTGTCAACCAGTCCACACCCACTGTGGGACACATGAGCTAAGCCTGGATGCTGGTCCAGTGTCTCCATTTGCCAAGGACACCATAGCTAAGATTTATATGTTCCTGGTGCTCACTGAGATGTCCCAGGGCATTAGATCCAACAGGGACCTACGGCTGCTCTGTCAGCAGCTGGATGAAAGGAGGGCTGCACTTCCTCTGACACTGTCACTTGCTCTTGTCCTTGCTCTTAGGTCAAAGCTTGGTTTTGCTCACAATCCATCTCCAGAGATCTTAGAGCTTCTCCATCTTCCAAAATACATATATCTACAATGAGGACTTCAAAGTCAGAGAGGAAATACACTGAAATACCTTCCCTGTGTAGCTAAGACTAAATCACTTAGAAGAAAGTTTGGAGTTAAATGCAATAAACTGCTCAGGCTGGTAGAAGAGCAGCTGCAGAGAGGTATGTCCACCAAGGTAATCAAAACCTTTTGCCTTCCCTGGCCTGCTTTATCTGCACACAAGCCTCTGGTGGTGCCAAGCCCATCTGTACCAGAGCCCGGCGAGGCTGGGGCTCTCCAGGACCCGGCAACCCGGCACAGCTGTCGGGTCACAGAGGTGCGTGATTTCCTCTGCCCTCTCCGCCCAGCAAGGAGAGGTCGCGGCTCCAGTCCCTCCTGGAGGGCAGACATCCTTGTCAGCCCGGGCTCTCCAGGGCGCCCCGGGTTCGCCTGGGGCCTCTGCTGGGCTGCGGCCCTGCGGGCTCCGGTTCTGGCCGGGGCAGGAGGCTGGAGGCGGCTGGGGATGCAGGCGGTGGCCCCGGGCCGGGAGCGGACGGGGACAGCCGGGCAGCGGCAGCCAGCCCGGGCAGGGGGAGCGGGCCCGGAGGAGCGGCGGG